TTGTCAATGTATTAATAATTTTCAAAATTCAAGACCATTACCGGAGTTTATATTAATAACCATGATCTACAGAAATATTGTGCTTATACATGTAAACAATTGACCTTATAAAATAGATTTGCAACAGTATACGGAATAAAGAATATGGAATATGGAATATGGAATATGGAATATGGAATACAAACGAAAAAAAGAAAATTGTAAAGAATGCTATATCTTTGTTATATTAACAAATAAATGTATGTATGTATACATACATACATAATTAAATATATAACTGATATCTGATATACATACATATGTACTTAAAATATCTATCGGATCGATATCGATATGAATAAAATATGGTATACTACGCCATATCAGAGACCTGCAAGACGGTTATTTAAGAAATGGGCAATGCAGTCATACTTGCATTTCATTACCAAAAAACAAAAACATAAGCATTGAACAAATCATATAACACTAGCAATAACGTATTATTTACTTATTTGTTACATCCGAAGAAATGTAGCTACTAACTTGGATCTTCGTAAATAATACGTTGTTATTTCCAGATAAGGTTTCATAAAAAATCACTATATTATAAAATTTTATAAATGCAATTGATCGATTATTCTATAGTTATTTTTTTTTGTAAGTGAAGCTCGCACAAAGCTGTACACGTTTCCTTTAAATCTCGTACCTACGTATGTACATACCGAGATCGAAATTTTGAATAACAAAGTAAGTATCCAAAATTATATTTTTCTCCAATAGGGGAAAAAGGTACTCATAATAGAAAAGTCAAAAAAATCATAATATCTGTGACACAATATATTGTTTATCAGGTTACAATCCTAAATGTTACGAGTATTGTTCTTTACATTTTATATTTGTCGATCTAATTACAATCCTTACGTACCATATTATATTACCCCGCATTCAATTTTGGTATTTCGGTTACATATTATTATTATTATTATTGAGTAAATTTATATATAACTTTATGATTCATAAAGATCAAAGGTATATTTTTGTTCATCCGTGCCCTCTTGCAGGTGTTAGACTCAAATCATTGAATGATTCGCTTAACTCTTGCAAAAGGTCGGATTTTAACCAATTATACCTATTTATCATATTATACTATAACTGATTTATTAGAGGCTGAGAACGAGTTCACAAGATAATACAAATCCTTTATCATACACTCGCTATAAGTGTACACTTGAAATTAGAATATAGTTAACAAAGTCTTCTTAATTGTCCTAACTTCGTAATATTATCGAACGAGTAATACCCAATAATATCATCATCTTGTGTTCTCCTTTGTCAGTAACATCTTTATTACTTACTCTATTATTTACTATTATTTACTCTGTAACTCTTTACAGAAGTTGGAAAAACTTTAATTTTTGTGAGTTTCATTGATTTTCAATTTGTTATTAAAATTCATTATTCAAATTTTTTTTAAGCTTGTTCCAACATACTAATTTACCTTTGTACTCCTTTCGTGTGATGCAGCTAATTTATAACTTCAAGCTTATTTAAAGCTTGTTTGTTGACGGTATGTTTAAAAAAAAAAAAATAATAATTTTTTTTTATTCATAAAGTTAATTCTCATCAAATTATTATTTTATTTGATTAGCTCATTTGATTTCTCGTTACACCTTAGTATCAAGTGGACCATGAACAGAGGCTACAGTTACATATCGCTTACGGATTTTCCTGGCGAATGTCTCTACGAAATCTTTCTATACCTAAAAAATGATAATGATTCACTTTTCAATTGTTTGATGGTAAATCGTAATTGGTGCCGTCAAGCAATTCCTTTGTTATGGCGTAAACCATTCAGAAAACATCCTGATGTTACAATGCCATTTTTACTCATCCGCACATATTTATCTTGTCTTTCCGATAGCGCAAAAAAACGTTTAAGTGCTGCCGGTTGTAGACATCGTGCTCTATTATCCAAACCTTTATTCCCTTATCCTCTATATTTACGTGAACTGGATTTCGCTGAACTAGATTATGCTTTGGATATTTGGTTAAGCTATGGATTAGAGTATGAATATGAACCTCCAACTTTGAGGCATGTACTATCCACTGAAGTATATAATTTATTTTTCACTCATTGCAAAAGTTTATGGAATTTGAGGATTGGTCAATGGGATGACGAATATTCCGTAATGGATATTGCTCAAATTGTAAGAGCTCCACAAACTCTCTCTACTCTTCGTCACTTTGAACTTTGTGGTGACTTTGATTGGTTAACTTATGAAGATCTTGATAACCTTTCAAATATTTTGACTATAATGTCCCATTTTACTTTTGATCTTCAATCTTTAAAGATCGATATGTCTTTGGATGAGGATAAATGTTTACTAAAACGTTTAAGAAGGTTAATCAAAGCTCAATCCGCTTTAAAATCTTTTATATATTCCCAAAAACATGGTTGTGTTATGGACACTAAATCTATCATGATGGCGTTGACAACTCAATCAAAGAACCTTGTAAATTTGGTTCTTGATGATATTCCCTTAAATATGGCGTGCCTAAAATTCTTAGAAAAGTTTAATAACTTGAAAACTATACGGTTCATGTTCTGTAATATTAAAAGTAGCGAAGTTAATTATTGTAAAGATACCGGAAAATTTATCGATGTTGTTCCAGATGAGGATGATGCTGAAGGTAATGGTGACGAACCGTGGAAATTGAATGTGGA